TTATATTAAAATTAGACAACCACAATAATAATAATAATAGTTGTGGGTGACACGGTGGCGCAGTAGGTTGTGCTGCCGCCTCACAGCAAGGAGGTTGCTGGGTTGCTGGTTCGAGCCTCGGCTGGGTCAGTTGTGTGTGTGTCTGTGTGGAGTTTGCATGTTCTCCCCGTGTTTGCGTGAGTTTCTTCCGGATGCTCCGGTTTCCCCCACAGTCCAAAGACATGCGGTACAGGTGAATTGGGTAGGCAAAATTTTCCGTAGTGTATAAGTGTGAATAAGCGTGTATGGATGTTTTCCAGTGATGGGTTGCAGCTGGAAGGGCATCCGCTGCATAAAACATGGGCTGGATAAGTTTTTCCATTGTGGCGAAAATGGATTAATAAAGACACTAAGCTGAAAAGAAAATGAATGAATAAATGAATGAATGAATAATAGTTGTTGTTATTAATATTTAATTATGCATTTCTTATTATATAAAGAATTAGACAACAACAATAATAATAATAATAATAATCTTTTTTTTGGCTCTCGGCGAAGGCGGTTACACTTTTTTCCTCACTTCTGGCTTGTTGTTATTATTACTTAACTATGCATTTTTATTATATAAAAAATTAAACAATCCCTTATTCAAATATTATTATTGGTATTATTCACAATATTATTATGATCAATAATACTACTAATAATTGTTGTTATTATTGTTTAATTATGCAATTTTATTTAATAAAGAATTAGACAACGGCGACGACAACCACAAAAATTATTTTAATGATAAAAATAATTATTAAAGTAATAATAATAATAGTAGTAGTAATAACAACAATAATAATATTAATAATAATAGTTGTTGTTGATATTAATATTTAAAAATACATTTGTATTATATAATTAGATAACATATTTGTATACATTTATAATAATAATAATCATCATAATAGTAATAATAATAATAATAATATTTGTTGTTATTATTATTTAACTATGGATTTTTTATTATATAAACAATTAGACAACATATTTTAATATATTTATAATAATAATGATAATAATAATAATAGATGTTGTTATTATTTATGCATTTATATTATATAAATAATTAGGCAACATATTTGTATACATTTATAATAATAATAATAATAATAATAATAATAGTTGTTGTTATTATTATTTATGCATTGTATTATATAAATAATTAGACAACATATTTGTATAAATTTATAATAATAATAATATTATTAATAATAACAATATTAGTTGTTGTTATTATTATTTATGCATTGTATTAAATAAATATTTAGACAACATATTTTTATATATTTTTAATAATTGTTGTTATTTAATTATGCATTTTATATGTATAATAGAAAACATATTTTTATATATTTATAATAATAATATTGTTGTCGTTATTATTATTTATAATAATAATAAAAAAGACTTTCTCAGCATTTAGATTTTTTTTTTTTTTGAGCCTCAGATTCCAGATTCAGCCAAATATTGTCTAATCCTAACAAACCAAGCATCAATGGAAAGCTTATTGATTGAGCATTCACGTGATATTGAAATATACTTTAAATAAATATACTATATTTTACTGTACACTATAATAAATGTACATTCAAAAACAAAGAGTACACCCAAAAATGAAAAGTCTGTCTTCATTTACTCATGCTTTACTTGCTTCAAACATTTCTCAGTTTCTGTTTTTTTCAGTCAAACACAAAAGAAAATATTTTGAAGAAAGCTGGAAACCTGTATCCATTGATTTCCATAGTTTCTTCTATGGAAGTCAATGATTAAAGGTGTTTTCAGCTCTTCTTTTTTGTTCAACAGGAAAAAAAAAGAAACTTGAGGGAGAGCAAACATTGATTTTTGGATGAACTTTCCTTTTTACCTCTAAACCCACTGTCCATTATAATGGACAGACATACAGTTGAAGTCAGAATTATTTGCCCCCCTGAATTATTCGCCCCCCTGTTTATTTATTTTTCTCCAACTTCTGTTTAACGGAGAGAAGATTTTCTCAACCCATTTCTAAACATATTAGTTTTAATAACTCATTTCTAATAACTGATTTATTTTCTCTTTAACATGATGACAGTAAATAATATTTGACTAGATACTTTTCAAGACACTTCTATACAGCTTAAAGTGACATTTAAAGGCTTAACGAGGTTAATTAGGGTAACTAGGCAGATTAGGGTAATTAGGCAAATTGTTGTATAATGATGGTTTGCTCTGTAGACTATCACAAAAAAATTAGCTTAAAAGTGCTAATAATTTTGTCCTTAAAATTGTGTTTCAAAAATTAATAATACATTTTTATTCTAGCCGAAATAAAACAAGACTTTCTCCAGAAGAAAAAATATTATTAGACATACTGTGGAAATTTCCTTGCTCTGTTAAACATCATTTGGGAAATATTTAAAAAAAGAAAAAAAATTTAAAGGGGGGCTAAAAATTCTGACTTTAACTGTATGTACAAAAAAAATACAGATTTAAAGCTTGCAATTCTGCAATCATTTTTTAACATTTATTAGTAAATATATCCTTTTTTTCTATAAAATCTATGAAATATTGGCAAACATATCAATAAATGAAAATGTTGCTTATGTCTTTGTTTGGAACAAGTCACTCTTTTTCAATGCCTCTTTTCACCCTTGGGGATACTTCTCGAATTACATCAAACAGGGCTTTACTGTGGTTTGATTGGATGAAAAGTCTAGTATTGAATAGAATTTATTGAATGGGATAGCCCCTTGAGATGAATCATCTCATTTTCGAGGGGGTCCCTAAATCCCCTAAGTGCCTAGTATCATGGACAACAAGCTTTAAATGTGGTGAAATGCCTCGGAATAAAATAAATAAATAAATTTAGTTCTAAATAAAGTTAATAACATGATCTGACAAGTGATTGAAATGGATGCCGGGTCTGAAAGAGTAGTGACGTGACACCTCTATTATTTAATTAATTTATTCATTTTCTTTTCGGCTTAGTCCCTTTATTAATCTGAGGTTACTACAGTGGAATGAACCGCCAACTCATCCAGGTTTGCACAGCGGATGCCCTTCCGGCTGCAACCCATCACTGGGAAACACCCATACACCCTCATTCACACACATACACTATGGACAATTAAGCTTATCCAATTTACCTATAGCGCATGTGTTTGGACTGTGGGGGAAACCGGAGCACTCGGAGGAAACCCACACGAGCATCAGGAAAACATGCAAACTCCATACACAAATGCCAACTGACCCAGCAAAGGCTCAAACCAGTGACCTTCTTGCTGTGAGCTAATTGTGCTACCCACTTCGCCACCGTGAGGCTTCTATTATTTATTGTATATCAAAAATAAATAAACAATTAAAAATGAGAGATTCATACTCCTATTTAAGTCAAAATAACTCTTATTTTTACATTGTAATGTTGAAATACAGATGAAGTCAAAAGTATTAGCCATCCTCTTCCTTTTTTAAATGTTTCCCAAATAATTTTGAACCAACCCAGGCTTATTCTGAAAAATGCAAATCCACCAGAAGCCACTTTATACGCTTTTTCAGATCTTAAGTTTTTCTCATAATTGCCATTCGTGCCTGCTGTTCTCGCGTAAATCAAACCAGAGGCCGCTGTTGCCTGACTGACTGACTGACCAATCGACTGACCCACCCTCCTACTCCCCTTAACCCAACCAATAGTGTTTTAAACAGCACCGATTGACCCGCCCACTGCCTTTCCTAAACCCAACTGACAGTGTTATCAAAAGCAATCCAGAAAAAAGAAAAGGCCTCTCGGCCGCCTGATTTTACCATATTTTTCAGACCTAACCACATTCTCAACCTGTTATTTACTTGTTTATTTTTTGCCTTTTGTTTTCGTTTTACCTGCTTTCTGGAACCAATCTTTGATGGACTCGAACCCTGTCGCCACATTCAACTCCTCTCTGTGTTTCAAGTCTGCCCACGTTTATGACGAGCTACTGGGCGGACTGGTAATAGCGGAAAAGTCTTCCACATGGAGGTAAGAGGTCAGCTCGCAATGCGAAAATAAACAGAAGCTCTTGACAGCGTTATACTGCTCTATAGCGTTCGTTTTAAAGACGAAATGCAGCCATACGTACCTCTGGCTACATAATTTGCAATCTCCAGAAATGTATACTGGGGTACATATTCACAATGAGCCTGTACTGTGTTTAACAGATTCAGGAGTTTTTCACAGTATTTCCTATAATATTTTTTTTCTTCTGGAGAAAGTATTATTTCTTTTATATCGGCTAGACAAAAAGCAGTTTTTAATTTTTTAAAAAGCATTTTAAGGTCAATATTATTAGCCCCCTTAAGCAATATTAGTTTAGGATTGTCTCCAGAAGAAACCACATTATACAATGACTTGCCTAATTACCCTACCTTTACCCAAATTACCCTAGTTAAGCCTTTAAATGTCACTTTAAGCTGAATACTAGTGTCTTGAAGAATATCTAGTCAAATATTGTGCTGTCATCATGGCAAAGATCAAATAAATCAGTTATAAGAAATGAGTTATTAAAACTATTGTTTAGAAATGTGTCCAAAAAATCTTCTTTCCATTAAACAAGTTGAAAACATACTGGAATAGCTCTATTTGTGGCGATGTACAATGTAAGAAACACAAGGCAGACACAAACACATGCACATAATGCCAGTTTTACCCTCCTGTTTGGCCACAGAAGAGGAAAATCGCTGGAGAAAATGACAGATGTGTCAAGTGATACTGAAGAGGCTTCCTATAGGCAATAAAATGACCCCATTAAAAGAGAGCAGCTTGCAGGGGCCTGATAAATATCTGTGTCCCGCTTGTGTTTGTCAGTGTAAACAGCCTCCCACACAGTAATAGAGGAAGGTGGCGGAGAGCAGATAAGGTGAAGGGTGATATGGCTGTGGAAATAGGGAAAAGGGCCTGTATATTGATAGTCATCTCCCAGTTCTGTCCATCCATGAAATTACACTCATCATTGACTCACCTCACCATTAAGAAAGCAGTAAAATACCGACACAAAGAATCCCTGGAAGAAAAAAAGAGAAAGAGGGAGAGAGGGAAAACATAGCCTCAGTTAATCTGTCATTTCATGTACATTTTAACAATATATTCAGCTTAAAGTACGATTTAAAGGCTTAACAAAGTTAATTAGGTTAACTAGACAAGCTACGGTTATTAGGCAAATCATTGTATAATTGTATATTTACCATTTCATATTAAGTGGCCTTAACTAATATGTTCTTACATAGGAGTTAATAGTTTGTTACAATGTACTTATTGTGTAAATACATGTATTTACTGTGTACTTATGCTTGATTAAATACATGTATGTAGATACATCTGTAACTAACTTTTGCAATTACATTTGTACATACACTGTTGACCATCCCTTACACCTTAACCCACCCTTAAACCTACCCATGCCACCAAACCTGTCCATAACCCAACTCCTATCCCAACTCAAAAGCACCACAAGTGTTCTCAAATACAAGTATACCACATAAACACAGTAAGTACATTGTATTTATTTTTTTTGATGTAAGTACATAGTAGTTAAGGACACTTAATATAAAGTGGGACTTAAAACTTTACCCAGTGCAATAGAAAATCAACAATGATTAACATTCAGTGGTTCAGTAGTTTGTACAGTAGCAATAATTCAATTCAATTCACCTTTATTTGTATAGCGCTTTTACAAAGTAGATTGTGTCAAAGCAGCTTAACATGAAAGATTATAGTAAATTGAAACAGTGTAGTTCAGTTTTCAGAGTTTAAGGCTGCTTTCACACCTGTGAATCGATTCAGTTGTTCCGAAACAGAGATTACAATTGCTACATTGTTGCTCTTTGCTCTTGGAGCGGTTTGCTTTCACACTGCAAAGTTTCAACCCAAGCTCATTCTGGAAACATAGCCCCGCGGACGTTTCTGGAGACCGCGATTTACGTGGCCGGAGGTACGTAAAGGCCGCTTTTGGTTTTTTTCGAGCGAACGCCGCAGAGCGGTGTGTCGCCGCTCCGCCTCTCTTCTTCACACTCGCCGGCCGACGACTCGCCTCCGAGTGGAGGGCTTTCCCGGTGCAATCAGTTTGTCCGCTTAGCTTACAGCGTTGCGTCGGCGGAGCGGAGGCCCCGGAGGAGGAGCCGGAGCCGGCCGCGGTGGATGACGACCGGGATCGAGTCCGGGGAACAGCGGTTCCGGAAATCAGGTAAGACGAAAAACGGAATCCGAAAAATAAGGGCAAGAACGCGGCAGGATCCGAAAACGCGTTCGAAATCGAAGATTTTTTCGCGCGAGAACCTCTCCCGAGAGGCGCCCAAGACGCGAAAAAGCGCGCACAGCGGCCTCTCGCGGATCCGCGAAAACAAAAAACACTCGAATACGTACCTCCTGGGACGTAAATCGCCGTCCGCAGAAACGTCCGCGGGGCTACGTTTCCACAATGAGCCCGGGTTGCAAAGTTTCTAACCGGACCTAAAGAGCTAAAACAAGTTACGTGCCAGTAAACTCTCCTTACATTGGTTGGTCAGAGTGTCAGGGTTTATTTTGCAGCGTCCCGCTAAGCTGTCAGGAGAGGTGGTGGTTTAGTGGTGATTGACAGGGTGCGCGCACGTGATGTGTCTGAGGAGAGATGCGGTGGGAAGGGGTGAGAAGGGCGGCCGACGATGCCTATTTGAGGACCGGGAGGGAGACGCGAGATTACCGGGAGATCATCACTCGTTTGCGGGCATCCGGAGACTCGCGAAACTTCCCGCCATACTTATAATGCACTCTTCATATAGCCATAAGTCTGTGATTACATAACCATAAAACACTGTGATTTAACCGCGCTCGGATCAGATGGCTTTCTCACTGCAATCGAACCGCTCCAGGGTTCGTTTCAATCGAGCCGAGACCACCTCATTCAAGCGATCTCGGAGCGATTACTTTGGCGCGGAACAGAGCGCGATTGCCCTGTTCACATATGATAAACGAACCGTGCTAACTGGGCAAATGAGATACGTTCCGAAACAAAAGTGTAGGTGTGAAAGCACCCTTAGTTCAGTTTAGATTAGCTCAGTTCAGTTTAATGTGCTTTAATATTCACTGCTGGAAGTCCAAACACTGAAGAGTAATCCATCGATGCGCAGCTCTACAAGTCCCAAACTATGCAAGCTAGTTGCGACAGCAGCGAGGAAAAAAACTTTTATTTTACTGGGCGTTTATGCAGTAGATTACTGTAAAATTGCAGCAAATTTGTAGGCAAGTTACTGTAATTTAGTCAAGTCATTGTATAATGGTGCATTCACACCAGACACAGATGAATCGTAAATGGCAAATGATTAACAACGTCAATGCAAAGACGCGAATAGACATCCTTCAGTTCTATTCACACAAATGTGGTGAATGATGCGATGTGATTCACACCCTTAACGTGTGAATTGCTCGAGTTGGAAAATCTGAACTATGACGTAGCGCCTGTTGTTGGTATCCCGAGGGGAAATCCACCTGCTGACATGTAGTCTGAAGCACTGCTGAAAGGAGGAGTTGATGAACTCACGAGCTGGGTTCACCTCTAAAAGGATCTAGTGGACGCAGACCCGGCGCTGAATGAATCTATGCTCCTTTTCAGTCTTTCGAAAAGCACAAAATTCCCAGCTACTTGCTCAAAAAAAAAACAAAAAAAAAAACATGTTAGCCATTTAGCAGCACAACTCGAGTCACCGGGTAGACATACCATGCGTAAACATGGCTTAAAATGCGGGATCACAATGGACTAACGAAAGAGTCCATCGCCCATCGCTTGTCAAAAAGGTAATGCTTTTGGCCTTGTTCGGGATGTAAAGCACTTTGACAGCAGGTCTTGTACCACAGGCTTGTTCTTCCCGGATCAAAGCGCCATCCCATAATAATTGGCACATGTTTTTACTGAGGTGTCAGCTCTGGTTTCTGAAGACCGACTGCAGCAGACAATCAAAGCCAGCTGAGAATAATGTTCTCAGGGGAAACATAACTATTTTTCCACACTGAAGCACTTAAAATATTCATGAATGCAGAAGAGGAGATAGACTTCAGACCTCTTCACAGAGCAGGAGACTCTTCTTAAAAGGGTGACAGAAGACCAATAATGGCCTTTATCACAAGACTGGATTATTTACAGTTCCTTCAGGTGTGCATGACAGAGATGAGAGTAAACAGAAGTGCAAGTGCTCTTGTGATTTCACATTAACTGAATAAAAGCAGCACATTCATTACATGCAGGACAATTCAGCAACCTTTTTAGATTTAGAGCAGAGCTTTACCCGATGGACCACAGCTCCTATGGAGCCAGATCAGTCTCAAACATGATAAAATTCATACATACACAGCTCAATTGACATTTACAAAATCCAACTTGAAAATTTAAAACACAATATATAAATATGACACACAATTTGTAAATTCACAAGTTAAAATCCTAAATATTTTCGCCAGATCCTTGTATATTATTAATCGTGTTTTGAATTTATGACTTGGATTTGTGTAATTTTTTAATCGTGTTTTGAATTTATGAATTGCATTTTTGCGTTTACGAATCGTATTTTGTTTTTTGAATTTACAAATTGGATTTTTGTATTTTTAATCGTGTTTGGATTTACGAATTGGATTTGTGTATTATTACTCGTGTTTAGAACTTTTGAATTGTATTTGTGTATTTATGAATTGCGTTTTGAATTTACGAATTGGATTTGTGTATTTTTTTTATCGTTTTTTGAATTTACGAATTGGATTAGTGTATTTATGAATCATGTTTTGAATTTACAAATTGGATTTTTGTATTTTTTAATCGTGTTTTGAACTTTCAAATTGGATTTGTGTATTTACGAATTGCGTTTTGAATTTACGAACTGGCTTTGTGTATTTATGAATCGTGTTTTGAATTTACAAATTGGATTTGTGTATTTATGAATCGTGTTTTGAATATACAAATTGGATTTGTGTATTTTTTATAATCGTGTTTTAAATTTACGAACCGAATTTGTGTATTTTTTATAATTGTGTTTCGAATTTACAAATTGGATTTTTGTAGTGCTTAAATTGTGAAATGCGAGGTCCCGAACAGATCGGGGTAACGGATCCGGCATGTTACCCGAGAATGGAGAAGTGTTGTGCAAGAAAGTGGAGAGTGAGGGCGGGCAGAATTTTGTGGGTCACGGACAATGGATGAAAGTGGGGAGCGGGGTGGGGGTGGGGGTAGTGGGTTGTCGTGGTCGAAAGTGAACAGCGGACGGGGAAGGAGGGCTGTTGAGGAGGGGGATCGGTAAAATCAGGTGCCGGATCAGATTTCAGAGGTGCCAGATCCAAATTGAATGTGTATTTTATGAATCGTGTTTCGAATTTATGAATTGGATTGGTGTATTTTTGAATAATGTTTTTAATTTACGAATTGGCTTTGTGTATTTAAGAATCACGTTTTGAGTTCACTAATTGTATTTGTGTAATTTATGAACCGTGTTTTGAACTTACAAATTGGATTTGTGTATTTTTGTATTGTGTTTTAAATATACAAATTGGATTTGTGCAATTATGAATTGTAATTTGAACTTACGAATTTAATGTGATTTGGGTTGTGGATGTGTGAATTATTTATTTTGTAAATGTATTATTTTTTAAACTGATCATGGCTCCATAGTTTCTGCGTACCACCACAGAGAATCATTTGTTTATGAATACATAATGCATGTTTATATATGTCTACTCAAATATAAAACATTTTATAACACAAAGATTCGTTTTTTTCAATGGATATATTTAAATAATCACTGTCATTTGTTTTTAATGTGGTCACATGACACGAGAACGGCTGTTTTAAAGTAAAAAAAAAAACTAAGAAAAACTAATATCTTTAATTTTTCCTAGAGGGTAAATTTTTTAAGACAAAAACCAGAAACCATACTTTTTCACTTAATCCAATATAAAAATTTATTTTTTTATAAGGCCAGTAAGGCTATTGTGTTAAAATAGTATCTTTAACAAAACATGGTATTTCCTTCTTTAGCTATCTATTTTTAAATAAAACTTGGGACTATTACTGCATCATTTTCCCACAAACAGTGAAGGATTTATATAAATAACTAATAAGAAGTGCCTGGACTCCCACATAGCCATTAATCCAGTGACGGGTAGCTGATGTTGAGGTGCTCTGATGCCCACACTTTCCCTGCATTTCAACTGTTAGTAAAATTCCCAGAGCAACAAACTCTCGCCCACTCCAACTATTGACAGCAGAACAGCCACGGTTATATAAATCGGTGTGATTTACTGTAATCTGCATTGGAAACTCGGTTAATTAGTGACAAAGTGCAAATGGGAGATTTACACAGAGCAGATGCTGACAGAATCAGGACTAGAACTCAAAGTTGCTCTGTGATCTTCAATCTACTTCCTCCTTTTAAACATCAGTTGTGTTTCAGGTTTAAGACACTCCAGTGATTTTCTGACACGCACGCACGCACACACGCACAAACACACACACACACACACACACACACACACACACACACACACACACACACACACACACACACACACACACACACACACACACACGTACGGGTATCTTTAAGGAGACTTCCACAGAGATAATGATTTTTATGACAACATAATAACCCTGAACCCCCTAACATTTGGTCCCCAGATTATTAGGAATACAAGGTACCCTAACAAGAATGGTGGAAGAAAGTAGTTCCTCGTACAAACGAGTTGCTCTGTAAGCACTCTAGCAGTGCGATATGGCTGTATATCAGCACTAATGGGGCACTAAAGCACCCAGAAGCAATGCTATATGGCTGTATATCGGCACTAATGGGGCACTAAAGCACTCGGTAGCAGTGCGATATGGCTGTATATCGGCACTAGTGTGGCACTAAAGCACTCAGTAGCAGTGCGATATGGCTGTATATCGGCACTAGTGTGGCACTAAAGCACTCAGTAGCAGTGCGATATGGCTGTATATCGGCACTAATGGGGCACTAAAGCACTCAGTAGCAGTGCGATATGGCTGTATATCAGCACTAGTGTGGCACTTAAGCACTCAGTAGCAGTGCGATATGGCTGTATATCGGCACTAGTGTGGCACTAAAGCACTCAGTAGCAGTGCGATATGGCTGTATATCGGCACTAATGGGGCACTAAAGCACTCGGTAGCAATGCGATTTGACTGTAAATTGGCCCTAGTGAGGCACTAAAGCACGCAGTAGCAGTGCGATATGGCTGTATATCGGCACTAGTGAGGCTCTAAAGCACTCAGTAGCAGTGCGATATGGCTGTATATCGACACTAGTGAGGCTCTAAAGCACTCAGTAGCAGTGCGATGTGGCTGTATATCGGCACTCGTGGGGCACTAAAGCACTCAGTAGCAGTGTGATATGACTACATTGGCACTAATGGGGTACTAAAGCACTCGGTAGCAATGCGATTTGACTGTAAATTGGCCCTAGTGAGGCACTAAAGCACTCAGTAGCAGTGCGATATGGCTGTATATCGGCACTTGTGGGGCACTAAAGCACTCGGTAGCAGTGCGATATGGTTGTATTTCGGCACTGGTTGGAGGTGTGCTTAGTGCTGATATGTAACAATATCGCACTGCTACTTGTGTGATATTGCTCATATAGACTTTCCATAGACGTATTGATTTTTATGACAACATAGTAACCCTAATCCCCTAATATTTTGTCCCCACAACATAAGAATTACAAGATGGAATACACACACACAAGCAAATATCTTAAAACTATTGAGTCCCCCCCACCCCATGTGTTGGAGCAGTTTACTTTTATTTTTTGGAAGGTCTGGTTATTGAGGGGTGGCACGGTGGTGCAGTGGGTAGCGCTGTCGCCTCATAGCAAGCAGGTCAAGGGTTCAAGTCTTGATTGGGTCAGTTGGCATTTGTGTGTGGAGTTTGCATGCTTTCCTCATGTTTGTGTGGGTTTCTTCCGGATGCTCTGGTAAATAATAAAGGGTCTAAGCTAAAAAGAAAATGAATGAATGAATCTGGTTATTAAATACATTTTTGAGTTACAAAAATATTATGATTCACAGTTCACACCGTCTATGTGTGTGAACAATTTTGAAAACATAATTTCAGACCAGTTTATGTGCATAAACATAGCAAATGTCCAGAGGCAAAGATAATGTCATATCCTTTAAATAGATTTTTTTTTCTTCAATGCTGCATCCTTTGTTTTGAAGCAGCAGATGACCTGCGATGACCACTGTATTAGACACACAAAAAGCTGGTCAGATTTATAGTACGCCACCGGCTCATGTTGTCAATGTGAATCTTTTCTGCCGTAACAAAGTAAAACCTACAGTACAGTATGTAACCTTTCACTCTCTAGAGTAGTACTAGAGCAGTGATTCTCAATCCCAGTCCTCATCATGCTCCACTGCTCTGAAACACAGACATATATAACCTCATGTAGGCCACATCATGACCTTTACCAGACAAGACAAAACAAGTATATATATATACACACACATATATATATATATATATATATATATATATATATATATATATATATAT